AAATACTGTAATAGGAACATAGGTGTTATACTACTGTATGTAACATATTTGCGAATTAATTATCAACTATCACTGTTATCAAATTCTGAACTCGGACATAAAAATTATACTTGAGAAATTAGATGGAATCACATAATATAAGAACTATATTAATGTATAAACAATTCATAAAATAATTCAAACGATAAATAATAAACTTAAAAAAGAGTGACATTCAAATTTTAAAAAGTTTTAAAGTTATACTTTTATAATTTGTGAGAAATAGTTTTTGCTTCTATAAATAATGAAATTAACATTTATTATTTTTTAATAGATTTCGTATATGTTTCAAATACATACATATTTCTATATTAAATAACAATTGATTTGTTCATTAAATTGGACTTGGATATAAACTGTATTATAAACTGATTAAGAGTTTTGTTTCTTGCAGTTGTAATTAAAAAAAAAATATTTAAAAACATGATAAATTTAAACAAAATTTATGGTAATTTTAAATCAAAGAAAATGCCCAATTAAATTAGCAAAAATAGTACTAGCAATTAAAAACATTGTGTTAAAAAAAAGTCTAATTATAATATAGGATATTATATTCTATCGAATATTTTAGCTTGAAAAGTAATCAAGTATAAAATATAAATATAATTAAATGTTTGTACTATACCACTTTCTACGTTAAAATATTCAATATAATAATAAATTCTCTACATAAAAATAAAAACTCACAATCATAAAAAATATATAGTTATACTGTGTTAACTAAAATACGTGTAAATAAATTTGGTGATTATCAGAAAAGATAAATATTTTGTAAATAAAGTGATAATATATTAGGTATAAATCATCAAAGTATGTAACTTCGAGATGAATGTATAACATATTCTTTTTGACTTTACGAGTACTCTGCTTTTTTATAATTTTTCTTGTGTATTTATGTAGTTTTTTTTTTTTTTTTTGGGGGAGGGGGTTATACTTTGTCTATTTTTTTTTACAAATATATAAATCTTGTTGCTATTCAAACATTTTGGGTCAAGAGTGTAGATACGATATGGCAATTCCTTTCTAAAAATTATACTTGATTAATTTTTGTATTACCCCTGATAATATGTTCATTGAACTATCAAATATAAATAAGTTTAGAATTTTTTTTATAAAAGTATATATTAATAAAAATTAGCTAACATGAATTGTTAGAAAACTTTTTTTGTCTAGTTATTTTAACTAAGAGTATCTATATGTTTTTAATTAGGTAAAGTGGAAGATAAAAATAAATTTTTTGAGTATATTTTTAAAAACCCCTAGAACAAATTTAAATGTACGCCACTACATATATTATAGTTGTATATATTTGAGCATTTAGTTGGAATTCAAAAACAGTGAAAACTATTTATGAATTATATAGCTATTATTAATAAGACATCAAATTCATAAGATGTAATTGATAAATTACGATTTCTCAATATAATAAATAGTATAAAAATGTTTATACTGCTAAAGATTGCCAATTTTCTTAAGTACAATATTGATAAGTGTATTTTTAATAATAAAAAATATTTGTGAAAAAATGTATAGTGTTTTTAATCATATATTGCCTAACATATTACTCTTTATTAGTTCGTACATCTAATTATAGTATATAATGAAAAAAGTGTTTAAAACTAAAATATCACTATCATAAATCAATATCCCGTTAATTATTATGTAAATAAAAAATAAATAAATATAGTGGGGAATTTAATATTAAAATTTATATGACAACAAACTAAATATTTAAATATGATTTAATTATTATTACATATAATAATTTGTGTTATGATACAAACTAAAAAAATTAAATGCATCAAATTGGAATTAAAAGAATCACAGTAGTGTCTGTACCTAACTAGTATCTACTGTAGTACAATGATAACAATTAAATTTTTATTCATAGTGATTCTCAAAAATAAAAATGAATAATGTCGAGGTCATTAAAATTGTAAATTAAATTTTATATTTTGAAAATTATAAATTATAAAACGAAATCATTGAAGTTATGTTTATATAATAATAGTAATAATAATAACTGAAACCTTCAAACGTGATGCGATTACATATCTAGTAGCGTCATCTGTCGGATAATACTATAAGACAGTACAATACGTTTGTGTTTATTTTAAAAATATTACTAATTGGTATAGTATACTTTGTACAGTTAATACACTTTGTAAATTGATATTTTATCGTTTTTCTAAGTTAATTTTTTTTAACAGATATGGACTTACTATGTTTTAATAATATTAGTTGTATTTTACATCGAAATACAAATTAATATAATTTACCAAGTAATAAATAATTATTAAAACTTATAAATATAGATTAATTTTCGAAATCAAATTTTAATTAATAACAAATTTATTTATCATGATAAATATTCTTTACGGTTACGTTCTTGGAAACAGTAACTTAAATATTTAATGCACAATTTCGGTTTTGTGAGAATTGATTCAAACAATTTTTGGTTATTATCTGTTATTTCTGTACTCAATAATTTACTTGGGTTCGATATCTAAAACAATATTTATTTATTTTTTTAAATTGGTTTCTCGAGAAAACAGAATAGAAATTTATCATTAAAATAATTCTTACATAGTAAAAATATGATATGTAATTGAGTCGTACATAATATATTCAGTAACGGATCTAATAGGGCGGGAGGAGCAAATAAATATGCTTGCCCCAGGTGCTTTTCATATAATGAAGGCGCTCTAAGCTTATACAATATAAAAAAAAGTCATGAATATACTCCATACTTCCACTCTCTAAATAAATTAATTACAATTCAACTGAGCATTCAATATTGCCGACGGATTCAAGGGTGGCCCCTAAAGTATGCCCAAATGAAATAATAGCACTTCATATAAGATATCAAATATGATAGATAAATCATAATATAATCAGTGGCGTAGTTACGGGGAGGGTGTAAGGGGTTTCCAACCCCCCACAGATTTTTTTTTAATGATATTTGATTATTATTTATTAATATTTATATATTATAGTAAAATATTTTGATTTTACTATGATTAGGTATATATTAAAAATTGAATAACAAAATAATTTTCATTAATACGGGACATAATAACACTATTTTAAATGTAATATTATATATGATCTCGTTTTAAGATATACTACGAACACTTAAAAACTTACTCTTAAACACCCCCCC